TGTAGTGTCTCTACTTTAAAGAGTCCTCTCCTGCTGATGTTCAGGTGTATATCAGTATGTAGTGTCTCTACTTTAAAGAGTCCTCTCCTGCTGATGTTCAGGTGTATATCAGTATGTAGTGTCTCTACTGGGACATGTCTCCATGCTCCAGTGCTGCAGCACCTCTTTTCACCCTCTGTCTGAAACCAGAGCCCAGTCTGCTCTGATTGGTTAGCTGGCCGGCTCTGTTGTGATTGGTCAACGGCGAAGAGATGTCCCGCCCCTTAGCCTTTCAGTACATCGTGTTGGAGCGTTTGCCAATAGAAGTGCAAGTGTAACATAGTGATGTCACTACGTTACTGAAGTATCATGATTGCCTGTTGGTCTTTTTGTAAAAACAATACCAATGAATTTGCAGTCTTTTGTCAACGAGATATCACTCTTAAAAAAATATTTAAACTCTTTCAAAAATATTTTCCATAACTAAATGGTCAATGGCGATGTTATTGTAGGTTATTTATGGTAAAGCTTTTTATATTATCATGCGATAATCTATTATAATTTGTCTGGACAGAACAAAAAATCTCCCAAATGAGGCATGTAGATCTTGCGGGATGCTATTTGGAAAAAAACATTTTAAAAGGAAGTGACAATAGAAACATTTAGGTACAAACATTTGTATCTACATTATTAGTTTTCATTATACTACCTATGTCCTTTTTGTTGGTCATTTTTCATTATGCAACATAATACAGAGATACATTTTAAGTTTGTATTTGGAGGATTGTGTTTCAAAGTGCCGTACATCGCACCAGTTGTTCTTTGTAAGAGGAACCATCAGTGGGAGTTTAATTAGGACTTGACCTTTCTTTATTTCCTGTTAAATCAATGTTTTGTTTCTGCTCTGAAGCGACACCCCCACATGTTGACGGCTCGCTCTGAGAGTTTGAAAAACGAGCGTGAATAAATTTACGTTTGTGACATTTCTGCACTCATTATCCTCTGACCCCCCGAATGAAGACCCCCATGGAAACTGTCAGGGAAAAAGGGGAAACGTGCTGGGATGTAACAAGAATAGACCAGCTGCACCTGGCATCGCCATGGTTACCGGGCACGGGATGAATTGTTGTTCCCATGACAGCTGTCACCACGGTGATAAAAGCCGCTTGGACAGATGTGTGGTTTCTCCCTGCGAGAACATACCTGTTCCTGTCCCTACACACGTTATGTTCACCCGTGACGACGTGTCGTGCATACAAGGTTTATTATCTGAAATACAAATTTTCTTAAGGTTGTTACAGTATTACACAGTATATTGCAAGACACAATCTGGTTTTCGGCATTAATATCTTAATAAATACTGATATTTATATATTATATGATGTTTACATTTGTATTAAGTTCAATGTGCACATTTATACTTCTTTTTAATTAAAAAAATTAGCAACCATGGCAAAATGTTCCCCTCTGAGATAAAGATATTATTGAACATTTTGAAGTTACGTAAGTAATTCATTGAGTAAAAAAAGGAAAAAAAGCAGTCGTTTCGGTGTCGTTTGCTTTGTAAAATAAAAAAAAGTGACAACTCCACAGATTTCTTCTCAACAAATAACAACCAGTGAAGGATTTTCATTTCTTATTCTCTATATTCACCGTATTATTCGACTGAATAATTCCTGTCATCAGCTTTATCAACCTGTATTTACCAGTGCATTTTAGTTTTACTACTTTTTCAGGCGAGAAAGTAACAATTTAGATTTCAAATATGTGATTACTTTACCCAAATAACCCAAAAATAATTAGTTCACACAGCTATTAGGAGCGCTGAGGAGCTGCTGTGTGTAAAAGCCTCACATTGTATATGATCTGACTTTTACTGTGAATGAAAATAACCAATCTCTTTTCCCCTTCTAGATTAACGGAGTGGATATTCAGAACAGAGAGGAGGCCGTGGCCATTTTGACCCGAGAGGACAGCATCAACTTCTCCCTGCTGCTGGCCAGGCCGGACATAGAGGTGACGTTAGACAAAAAAACATTAAACCATCATCTCAAAAATCAATGCTCAGGTTTTACACACGCAGGTAGACACATAGAAACTGAAGTTACAGGTAAAGGCTGCAAAGAGCGGACATCATTTTAGTAGATATGAGCATGCAGGAGGGTTAAGGACACTAATAAGCTCTCAATTAAAATACATTTCAGGTGCATTTTTGACATTAATAATCATTTTCTAAACTACTTCTGTGATACTTGACAGCTATTGACAACAGAATGTTACGTAACTCTGGAAAAAATTGAAAACGGGTAATCGCAACGAGATACACATCTTGATAATTTCAGAATGGGCATCTCTCCTTTCACTATCCATGTTGGAAATTGATGAATGATTTAATGTTAATTTAATGTTATTTTTAGAAAGCTGCTTTTTTGTATAGATACATGCATTACTATAATTATCATGTTCCATAAAACATTTGTTTTAAAACATTAGAAGAAAGATATTCAACTAATGAAAATATAAGAAAAAGTAGCGGACTTAAATTTGACTAATTGAAACAAACCAACAACCAATATTTGATAAAGAAATGATAAAATAAAGAAAGGTTGGACTGTGTGAATAGCGTGTTATGATACTGTTAAATCATAACATGATTGCTGTAACAAAGCGCTTCACTAGTGGATCCTTTTCTGAGAGAATGGATGTCTTCATCTTCAAGTCCAGGAATAGTCGTCACATTTATAACTTCAGTGTTCCATCACTCACCTGCAGCCTGCTTTACTGACCCACTTTCCCTCGTGCTGCTGCTGCTGCTCATAAGATCTCATAAAGCCACAGTTTATTTCACAGTGCGCTCAGTCCTGAACAATATGTGTTTACGTCCGACTGCCCTTTTGTTATCTGTAACATCAGGGTTAGCAGGAAATGTGTTTCTCTGCTTCAAATATCGATCGATTGTGGAGATAAGGTGACCTTTCCACCAGAACAACAATTACCACAAACGTAGCATTTCCAAGTGATTGCATCTCTTTACCCAATGCTGTAAACAAACATTTACTAAAACACTCACACTCTGATACGGACTTTAGTGACCTCATGATATTTCTCTAAATGCCACCATTACACCAGAGGTTTACTAGAATTACCATTTATTTATTATCTGCCCACCGAGTGTAAAGTTGATTTTGAAGCAAAAACTGGGCACAGAGCTTCAGTTTAGAGTGTATTTAAGTAATGTTATATGTGTTGGGGTTGTCCCTTTACTGTAGTGTGTTATATAGGTTTTTGTTCATTGTAAATGGTCTGCAAAGGCTAAAATCCAAATTTCCCTTGAGAGGGGGTTTCTGTGTGTGTGTGCTCTGTGTGTTATCATACACAGACAGCCATGATAAATGTTCATGTGTGTGGCAGCAGCTCCCAGAGTGTGTGTGTCCAAATGTGCTGACAGAAGAGGAACTGCGCAACGGTATATTCATAGATGTCAGTTAAACACACCCACGCATAGCATGCAACGGACGAGTGTGCTGTGTGTGTGTGCGTGCGTGTGTGTGTGTGTGCGTGTGCGTGTGCGTGTGCGTGTGTGTGTGTGTACAGTCACACATCGGTCAGATGAATGAGCCGTCAGTCAGTCAGTCAGTCAGTCAGTCAGTCAGTCAGTCAGTCAGTCACCTCCGACAGTCAGATCTCTTTGTTGGGAGAGGATGGATGTTTTATTGACTAGGCAAAAAACTAATGATGAAGTCATGGGGGAGGAGCCTTAATTAAAGAGAGCCAGAAAGCAAAAAGCCCAAAAAATAATGTTATGTAAAATGTTTATTTTCAATGGAATCGTGTTAATATATTGCATTTGCAGACCAATCATTTTAAGCCTTAATATAACCGTAACAGGTATTTTTCACCAGGCTGTTTTTGATTCCTTCACATGATTTCAGCCTTTTATGAATTAAATAGTTGTAAAAAAGATGGAAAAATGTACTTTTGGATTTGATTTAAACACTAACTTTCTCTCTGTCCTTCCAGAATGATAACCCTGTTGGTCAAGAGGAGGAAATGGATCTGACTCTGGAGGGGGGGGGCTTCCCCCAAAACCCCCGAACCTCCTCCGTCACATCCCCCCTTCCCTCTGGATATTACCGCCTCTGCCGGGGAGGAGGAGGAGGAGGAGGAGGAGAAGGTGTAGGTGGTGATGTTGCCGTGGAGGAGGAAGAGGATGAAGAGGAAGGAGAGAGGTGGGAGAACAGAGACCCTCCTCCTCCCCTGCCCCCCCTGCTGAGCCTGGCCCCCCTGCTGACCCACAGCCAGGAGTTGGACAGCGGGGTGGGCCGCACCGACGACAGCACGCGCTACGAGTCTGAACACGATCTGCTGGGAGATCAGACCAGCGCCCCCAACACCAACACCACCAACACGCCCGGCAGCACCCGCAAGTTCAGACCCGGACTCAGCCCCCGGTAGGACCCCCCCCCCC